TTTTCCCAAGTTGAGCCTATTTTTCACATGATGGCAGTTGGTGAATGATCTCCTCATCCTTATCTCATGAGCTTTCCATTTCATTTTTCCCCATCTTGTTGAGGATGGGGAGTGAGAGAGCAGCTGGGTAAGCATCAGTTGGCTGGCCAACATCAACCCACTGCATCTCTGTAGGTGAATTTGTATTTGCTGCTGTGAAATCTATGTGCACAGCCATCTATGGTGTTGCCTGTATACTATCTGGGGAAAAGCCAGCACATATAGACCTTATTTGATGTTGTTTTGGAAAACATCTTGAAAGGATGAAGTTTAGAAGTTTTGGTGGACCAGAAGTAATTTTTTTTAACAGTATAAGTAGAGAAAATACCTATCCACCTATCCTTAACAACTCCATGCCTCAGTTACTTGTTCTTCTTGAGCCAACATGAATTTCATTTTTTAAAGATTTAAATAAATTAAATTGTGTTTCTGCTATGTTGAGTTAAGATGGCTTTTTTGAGAGATAGCTTTCTCACTAATGGAAATTGATTGAGTCCAGTTCTTTTACAGAGAACACACTGAGGAAATTCTGCAGTGGAGTATCAAATGAGCTGGAAAAGGTGATTGCAACATTGCAACAGAGACAACTCAGCACTTTGCCAATTCATGCAACTCCTGAGAAACTTCACCTTTAAGATGCAGGTAATATATCCAGATGATTGACCTGGAACTTTTCAAAGAGTGTGTGTTTGCTAATCTTTGCTATATTAAATAACTCATTTTCCATTCTTTTTACTAGAAAAAAATAGTAAATTGTTCTGAAAGTGTAGTGACTTAGAAATTGGGAGGAGGATAAAAGGCTTTAGAGGAATCATTTTGAAGATGTATCAATGCATAGCATATGGGTAGGTGGCTGCAATATTAGTCCTGGATTTCCACACTTCTGCGGTGTTCTGTAGTAATATCAGATTAGTTACCAAAATATGGAAACCCTTCATGTAAGCACCCAGAACACAGTACATGAAACTATTTCAGTATAATGAAAATGAAACTCATGTCCAGAGTCTAAAGCTTGATGTGCACAGATCTTCAAGGCTATATAATTTTAAGAACAATGAATAATACTGGCTATTTAGCACTTGTATACACCTTCCATTTCCATGCCATGACCATGGTGAGTGCTGGTGTTGGATACTGAAAGGAGTCCAAGTCTGAGAAGCTTCTGTGAATGCTACCAGTTTTGAACAGATGAGAATCTGAGAGTCACAGTGAGGATAGGAAACTGAAAATACGAAAAATTCAAACCAGTTTTAGCCCACGTGCCCATGAGTTGGGAAGGGAAAAAGTTGCTCGTATATACTTCCAAAGGCTGAGGCCAAACTGTGGCAAAACTCAGAAAACATTCATTTGCCATTAACATTGATTCCCTGCCCATCTCAGCTTGCAACCCAGTCCCCAGTTTGCAGGCAAGCAGCAGGCAGACATCCCACTCTAGGGGGGGCTGCCTTCTTCTCTCCCTGCAGGCTACTGGGCTTGCCCTGTCCTGCCCAGGAACACAGAAGACAGACTGAGGAGGACTGGAACTGTATGGTATGCTGTCACAGCACACCAGCTGTTTGTGATTCAAGAAATGTTGTAAAACATCTTGGGGAGCCTATGACTAACACAGTTTCAGTAATGATCCAGAAACAGGCAATAGAGCAGGAGTAAATTAGCAGCCACCCAGCAGCACTGAAGTAAAATGGGAAGAGCCTGTGTTTAAAACCCCACGCCTTCCCCAAGCCACACAATTCTCATTCATCACTCACTGCAGAAAAGCAGGCACTTAACTGTTTGGTTCTGCAAGTGCAAAGGAAAAGCCAGGCAAGACTTTTCATATGCTTTGTAACACCAGCTGTCCTAGTGTCCTTTTACAGCTAATTAAAAACACATGATTTTCCAATTCACTCAATACAGGAAAGAGTGTATTTCTATGCTGTACCACTCAATAGAGCACATCATGCTGCAGAATAGAAAGTAAAAAGTACAGTCCTGCTGAGATTTGAAAAAAATTAAACATTAAGGCAATAATGGTTGGCCTGCATCATCATAAGTCTTAAATTCTCACAGAAGTCCCTGTAGGTGTACTCAGGTGCATCTCTACATCAAAATCATTGTAGTTCAGCAATGTAGGAAAAGGATTTGGCTGCTTCCCTAAGACCCTCACATTCAATCGGAAAAAATCTATAGGGAAAGTTCAGTCTGCATGGCTGAAGCTGTTTCCCAGTGCCCCTGCAAAATGCTCACTTCTGTGCTGGGGCTGCCAGGAGAAGCATTGGTTCTCTTGACCTTTTTTTTTTCTTTTTTTTTTTTTTTCCCTTGGGTTCCTGGGTTGTAATAAATTAATATTTGTGATCTATTTTGAGAGCCTTGAATAAAAATTGCAGCATGAACAGCTTATAAGTGCTGAAGTCCCACTCTTCTGAATTAACAGTATAATTAATTTTATGGGAATTATACAATCAAAAGGTTCACAGATCAAGAGTTTTTTTAAACAGTTTTCAATATGAAGCTAATTATCTGCTTCAGAGTAGTAGATTTTTCATACATTTCCTATGTTCATATTAATATCCATATGCAGAAGTCATGCCCATAAAACAGTATATTCTTCTGAGGCATTCCAGCGGATGACATTATATTTTAATTAGTTAGGATAATTGTTTGAGAAACTCACATATATTAATTTTTTTTTTCACTAAATCAGAAGAGATTCAAGTAAAGGGTGTGGCAAAGCTTATATTATAAAAGCAAATTAAGCCAGTCTTTTCTCTTAATTTTTATCTTTTAGTTTACTCTTCATGTTATGATTATGACTGATCCTAACATCTTGTACAATTTGATTTTGCTCATGGTCACTGGCTCTCAAAATTGTTCGCATGACTCTTCTAGAAACAATTATTGTCAAGGTAAAGCACCTACAAGAGTAGAGAGTTGAGACATACAGATTTTGCCCCCCCACCCCCTTCTTTTTTTTTTTTTTTAATTTCTGAGCATATGAAAAGTGCAAGCAAATGGCTATGCTGACACTGACATGAATCTGTTACATACTGGTATTAAACATGAATCACACTAATAAATGGAGGATTTTATTGTGTATATTGTGTAAATATTTGATCTTGTTGTTGTGTGAAGCCAAGGCCTAAAATGTACATATTTATGCTGATAAGCATGCATATGTCTTATAGAGATCAGGGTCAGTTAAAGAGTAGGAAATGAACTGCTACAAAATCACATGTTGTTAGACAGTGACTGCTAGATATGGGATGCTAATATAAAATGACAAAACAGGTTGTTAGATTAACTGCTCTGGTTAACTTTCTTCTGTGTTGTGTTCAAAATTTTTATAAAAGGGAAAACATTGACCCTTTCAGATGCATTAGATGAAGCCCTCAGGAAAGCAAAGCCAGGATCTTGTAGCAGCAGAAGTAATGAAATTTTACGGTTTGTAGAAACATTTTTTTTTTCCAGAACTGCCTACCTTGCAGCTGTTAGCTGTGCCACTGCAGTATTATGGCTCTAAGTATAAATACAAACATTACCACTTAGTGTGATATAGTCTTATCTTTTGGCACAGCAAGACTATTGTGCATTCACTTGAGTGAAAAATGACTGGAAAACCTCTGACTTCACAGCACATCCAAAGAGGTTCTGTGAGTGCAAGTTACACTGTGCTCACACACCCAAATCAAAAAGAGTCAATAGGTTACTGTCACACGCTGCACGCTGTGCAGTTCCATAGGGCTATGGAAGTATGTCTGGAAAACTGTAAGCCTGATGGAGATCAAGGTGCAAATACCATAGAAAACATAAAGAAAACAGCTACAAAAGGATGAGCGTATGAAGGCCAGCCTTTTTATATCAAGAGCTCGCTGAGCAGGCACTGAGAGCAGGCTGCACTTTTAGCATTTGTTCCTGCTGTACAGCTGCTAGTGCCCTATCATTTAATGTTAATTCATTTAGTCAGCCTATAGATGCTAAATGGCACATAGTTGTACAAAAAATAGTATAAAATATCCTTCAGAGAGAAAACAAAATAAGTAAAAGCTTAGCAAATGTGAGAAACCACTATAGGCAATGTGTTTGACTTCATTTTACTTATGGGAATAGGAAATTATGTGGTAGGGAAACAATAAACATGAAAGATTTCAGAAGTAGGAAATGAATCAGAATAGAAGCCACAAAGGTAGTTTAAGGATCTTATCCTTATATATACATTAAAAACAGGGTGTTACAGGGTGGGTTTTTGTTTGTTTGTTTTTACTCTCAAAAGTTTAATTTTATGTTAGAAGCAACAACACATTTATTCCTATATGATGTTTCACTCACCTTGAAACAATGTTCACACAGAGGTTTCCCATCTATACATACCCCCCAAAAACTATGAAATGTAACCTCTGTAAGGTGTTGTTAGTTTGTTTGTTTTTCTTTACATGTTGATCACAATTTTATGTTATTTGAAGGAAAATTCCGGCTTTACATGTAAAAACATTTTACACATATTTGCTTTCTTACCTGTGATTTGCATGCTCACACATTTTGTAAATTGCCTGTATCATGTCTTTCCCCATTATAATGTTCTTTACTTACTATATTTTTAAGTCATACAGTCATTTCAAATTGTATGTCCAGCTCACATTCAACACTACACACTATACTATAAAAAAAGAGATTTCTCCTAATTTATTGGGAAAATATTCTCGTATTTTGCTCCTGGCTTGTATCCCAGGACCCAGCAAAAGCCATATTGCCCTTGTTAATTGTTTTAAATGAGTCCGTATATGTCTAATGAGGGACAAAGACTGCATGATAAAGTAGTACTTTACATATTTTTCAGTAACACTACTTTAGAGACTCTCAGTGAAATGAAAAAGTATTGGTATTGATGGACTGAATTTTAGGAGTAAGCTGTACACTCAGAACAGAAATAAAAGCTCAAAATGGTTATTGTTAGTGCTTTCCTTCAAATTAAAAACTTTGAAATGTACCAAAATGGATAGATAGGTAGAATGACAGATATCAGAAAAAAAGGAAGAAAGGAAGAAAGGCAGGCCTGAGTTTGGTTTTGAAAAAAAAAAAAATACAGTTTTTCATGTCTTTAAAACATACTAAAGCATTGTTACAAGCACAAGAACTGGTGTGGCTGGGTATACACATGTTGTTGCTTGGTCCCACTGATGCTGGACATGGCCTAGAGAAGCAGTGCTGGAGCATGCTTCTTGGTTAGCAAGCAGCCAAGAAAATTCAGAGATGTCATGGTAGCATTTAACATCCTTGGACAGCCATTACTTGACAATCTGCAAACATAGGATACGAGAAAAACCTCCAAACTCTTTCTATGGACATCAGTTTACAACTCGTAAAGAAGACATTGAGAGTTACATTAATATGTTCTGTTTTGCTAACAGGTTAACATGCATTATGGAGAGTTGCTATTGAAAACCCAGTATCATCCATCTGAAGGCTAGACTCATCATGCTGAAAATTTCTTATGTTTTCAAATCATATAAAATAATCAGGGTGTCCAATTGCATATATACAGAAGTCATTCTTTTCTCTTTTAAATAATACCTTCTTCTAAAAGGTCTATTTTTTTAATTATCTAATTGATAACTTAAAAGATAAATACTATATATATAATAACTATAATAATAATAATATAAATTTTTATCTGAATTATGCCAAGCCTTAATCTATGTGCAGAGAAATGGCTAGTTCTGAAAAAGTCAAGATGGTGCAGAAAAAATTTAACTGCGGGACTATCGATCTCTAGAAGGGAAGGAAGATAGGTAAAGGAAGGAAGATCCATTTTGATTGCATATCACAGAATAAGGAGCTCATGGTCTCTTTGTCATGTATTTAAAGTAGGAGCCTTGGTAAAAGACATACCAAAACATATATTTGGCAGGCATAATTGGTGGTGTCACAGGTGCTTGATTGGTATGGTGTCTTTTCAATAATTGCTTTAAAAGTTTGTAATCCAGTAATTAAAGGAAACATTTGATTACAAACAAACAAACAAAAATATTTAAGAAGCTATCAGAAAAAAAAAGTACTATTTCTAGTAAGTATAATTGCTCTAGATGAGTTAATTTACAGAGTTTGCATACAGCTATTAAAGATTTATCTTTGAATGATTTAATCTTTCTTCTCTGCTTTGTATTTTCTTCTGTTTATATCTTCCCAAAGCAAGCGCAAAATATTAAATCAGAAGAGCAGCAATTCCTGTCCACTTACCAGACCATGACTACACATGACAAGGTGGTCAGGAAACAAGTTTGCTGTCATCTAGGATTTTCTCTACAAGGGAAAGGTGTAGCTGTGTCCATGGAGTAACAGTTTATCTAGGCTGGATCCAGCAGAAGCAATAGCTAGCATAATGAGATAGCAAGAGAAATTACTTTAGAGGTGTTATAAACTACTGTCCATGTTTTATTTATGTACCAAGGGTGTAAGAGCAGAGTGAGAACTGGGAGGATACCTTATCTGTCTTAGCTTTCTCAAGAACCAATCTAAGACTCAGTTAAGCTGAGAAATTATTAAAGCAACTGCAATTTTGGCTCAATCAAAGTCAAACCTGTGGACCAGCTGTTTGAGAACTACAGCTGTCCTCAGGAAGGATGGGATAAAAAAGTCCCACATCATAATAAAATTACCACATAAAATTAAACTAACTCATGCTTATTTTCTTTTCTTTTCAGCTTCTGAGAGGTCCACATGGAAGTTGGAAATAGAATAAAGCAAGGACTCAACTTTGAAAGGGAAACAAACCTACAAAGAAAATGAGAAGTTAGAAACATTTCTTTGCCTTCATCAGGAAACGAAGAAGTAAGAAAAGCATTTCAGGATGAATCTTTGGAGATTCCCTAAGCCATGTGTTGAACAAAGCCAACTCTATGCATCAGCCTTCCGTGTCCCCTCCTTGCTCGTCCTATGACTATGATATCTTAGCCAGTTTTATGGCCTGTATGGTAAAGGACTTCATCTCAAGTTCTGGATATCTCCTAGTAAGAGCTGCATGAGAAGGAGCCATGAGAAGCCTTGCTCAGCACTATCACTTAAGCTCAGACCTTTCCCTGACTCCCTGCCCAAGCAGCTCTGTAGCTATCCTTGTGCCCACCTGAGCACCTGGTGAATCCAGGCCAGCTCACTTGCCTCACCAGCCTCACCCTGGTCCTGCTGGTTCCACAGATTGGTGGTGGCCCTGACTGCCAGCCCGGGGCCTGCTGGCCTTGTCTGGCTCCTGTGGGACTTCAGCCTTTTCTGGGGAGGGCATGGTCCCACTTGCCACTTTGCAATCACCCTCCACAGCACCCGGTTGTGCACCCACAACTCTTGTATCATGTTATGTTGGTGGACAGGCATATTATAATGTTGCTGGTTGGCCAAGTTTTTTCTACATTTTTTTTAGTAAAATTTGGTTTTGATGGCAAAATGGTGTTTTGACAAATGTTTTTGCAGAAGGTGCTTACAGACCTTGAAGATATTTCATACTTGATGGGAAATGTAAATAAAGAATTCAATATGGAATTTTATTTATTTATTATTATTTTTAAAAAATTTCAGTATTTCTTTACTTAAAATGCTTGGTGGTTCAGTGTTCCTTTGTTTCCAATGGGAAAAAAAATATATCAGTGGAATCTTCTTTTGTTTAATGAGCATTTTGTGCAAGGGAAATGGGCAATGGCAATGGGCATTTTGCCAAACCAGAGAAATCAGAGAAGTCAAGAGACTAACTCAAGGTCATGTTGCAAGTAAAGGGCAGAAATGGGAATAAAACTCCTACCTACGGTCTGTTTCTTTAAATATATGTTCTTGACCCCCAGTACTCTGAATTCTTTCCTTCTGTCTTGGTGCTGTTCTTTAACTTCAACTCCTGTTCTGTAACCATCAAACACAGTCTGCTCCCTTCTGTTAACTTAGATAATTTATCTCCACTATTTGACAAAGGCTCTGGTGTAATTTTCATAGTAAGTTTCTTCCCTGGCCATTCAGACTTTACTGAAGAAATGCTGCCTTGTATGTTTTGCTGTATCCTGTATTAAATCATATTAAAATATTAAAATCATACAATCATTTATTTCTTTCCATGTTTAAGATGCTCTTCACAATCTGCATTCTGTGTCAGTACTGGAACATACAAAGGCTTGCTTGTTCTACTGAGGATGGGGAAGTTTTACTTGAAGATATTATTTTCTGAAATTTGAGCATGACAAAATAAACTTCCTTGTATTACTACTATTGTGGAAGAATGTAATTCATTGTAAATATGAAGTTGAGTGCATCTGAGTATTTGAAGTCACAAAATCCTGCATCTCCCTCCGTATGTTTATACAGGGCTTAATGTATGCTTGCAGCCATTTATCATTAATGCTAGTCTTTTATTTTTTTAATTAATAAGTTGCATTAAACATAGCAGAGATCCTCATATTTGATGTGAAAGCAATGAGTCCTAGGAATGTGAACACTATAGTGTCCTGTGGCAGCAAGCAGTTAGTATTTTGGCATTCATGGATATAATGCTGCCAATATCACTCACCTGATATCACTAAGGCAGCAATAATACAATAAGACAATAAGGCAATAAAGAAGAGGGAAAAAAAGTTGTTAATGTTTGTTTTGCTGGCATGAAAGCAAAGAAAGTTGAACAGGGGAAGGCCAGGTGGTTACTCACAGGTAATGCAGCAGGCAGGGCAAACAGCTTGACCCTGGCACTACCGGGTCAGAGCCCTTCCCTGCAGAGGCACATGCATGCTGTCAGATCCCATGGCAAAACCAAAGCCTAAGTCTAGCATGCCACAAATGTTAGGCAAAGATAGGATTTGCAACAGCTTGTCTGACATGGCTGTGTTAGAATATAAATCAAGGGAGAATAGAGAAAAAAAAGAGACTAAATTGATATAATCTACACCTGGGCATGAGTGAGAGGAGGAAAAAGGAAGTCATGCACAGAAAAAGTGGGACTCTCATCCTAAACATCAGCCAGCATGCCTCACTAGGATGACACAAAAGCTTTCAAAAGTGAATTAGCTTCATTTTAAAAGCAAACAGAAAAGCTGAAATCTTCCTGGTGTAACAATACCTTCATAAACAGGTTTGTTAACAAATCAAAGCATTGTTCAAGTGAAGAATATTTCTTCTTTAGAAGGCATCCCATTAGGAATATATATCTCAAACAACTACAGGTGGCAATATAACTGAGATTTCTTTCTTTTCTTTTTTTTTTTTTTTTTTTTTTTTTTTTTTGTGTGTGTGTGTGTGTCTGTTTTATGCAGTGACAAGCAAATCCTTTTTATAAGAAGTAATGGATAAATGGTTTACAGTGAAGACTCAGGACATGCTTAAATTCATCTCTCTGATTTGGCTCTGAGAAATTAAGGATTTAAAGCTAGGTCTCCTGACACCCAAAAAGAAGCAAGCTGCAGATTTTTCTTGGTTTTAATTCTTTTATTTCTTCCTGGTGCAAAATAGGATCCCTCTTGCAAGTTCAGATGCTTTTAAAACACAATGCTCTGGGTCTTCCAGATATACAGTTCCCAATAGGAACAGCAGATATTGAATTTTTCCCTTTGCAGCTCTATGGCTTGCTAAGAGTAGGTAAAAATTGAGTGAAAAGGAAATCTATCAGGGACTAGATCGATAAATTGCTTTTCATACAGAGGGTAACCTAATTCACGCTCAGAGAGTGCCTGTGCTCAGACAGAGCGTCTGTTGCACAGCCAGGCACGGCCGAGCAGATAATGCTTGTTGCGCAGATTTTGCTGGCGAGTGCACTACAGCTACATGAGGTGTGGAGCTATTCTCCACACAGGTGCACATGCACAGGCACACATGTATACACATGCATTATATACATTATATGCAGACCACATATGAAGTTAGTGCATACCAGTGCTGTGACTGCCTTCTACCAGCTCCACAGGTGATAAAGGCTATAGGGAGGTGATCCCCGTCTTACTGTGCTCTCTGAAACCCAGGAGCTAGGAAATTTATACCTGGATTCCAGCAGATACCTTTCAGCTGACACACTCACAAAGGCAATGCTTTCCTTACCTTTTGTAGAGCATAGAAATAACACTAAAAATTCACTTCTGTTCTTCTTCTTCTGAATAAATATTTCAAATCCTGTGAAAAAAAAAACACAATTTAATAAGTTGTAGCTTTCCTTAGTAACAATGCAGGAGTCACATCTGCCTGCTAAAAAAAAAAATAATACTAAGGAGAAGCAAGGAAAAGCAAGCAAATAAAAGCAACAGGCAAAGTCACAGCTGAGGTGGAGAGTGATACAAGTCCAGTGTAGACACGCACATCACCTAGACAGGCTTTCAGGCTGTGGGCAGGCTATCTGGGTTTGGGATTTTGAAGCATCGTCTTTCCAAGTATCTGTAAATGTGTCTTGAATGTACCTGTCAGAAACATATCAACAGGTATGATGCCAATTTTACATTTTAATGAGCAGAGATATTGTGTGATTTTTTTGTGAACTCACTGGAATTCACAATGGGCATGATTATAGGGATAAATATTAGTTTGTCATGTAGTTATTGCACAATGACTTTCAAATGCAGTGCTTTTGATGGTGGCACTTATATTAGCATAAGTGATGTCCCAGAATGCAGTACCAAAGAGGTTATGTCCTGCGCTTTGTGAATTTCAGTACTCCAACCTCACTGCAATATTTTTTTTCCCTTTATAAATAAATAAATAAATGTCTTTTGCACTGTAGTTCTTACTACACTCAGATGCATTAGCATTTAGAAGAGGCGTTTTTAGTTATAACTTGGACACCTGTAAGGTTCTGTTGTGGTTTAAAGATTGTGTGAGGAAGAACCCCCAGCACCTGCCACCAGAAGCTGAATAGTCCTGTACCTTGCTTCTTAACTCTCTTCATTTTGGTTTTCCATTGTGCCTTATCAATCTAGTCTGTAGTTACTGGCTATGGTTTTAGTAGGAATAAAATTTCCTAAATCAATTGCTTTAGTAATTGCATTGTTACTATTGCTATAAAAACATGAAATTTTAATAAATATAAATCTAAAGAGCTTTGATATTCATTTATGGATGCAAATAACTTTGTAGCTACCACTAATATTCTTAATAATTGTGTAGCAGAACCAGCCCACATTTTTCAGTAATGAGCTAAGGTGTACTATATGCAAGAGGTGTTTTTCTTTAGTGGAGTAAATGATAAATAGAAATTATGCAAGCTTTGATTAGATCTATCAGGTTTCTTTTAAATAGTTATTTTAAATAGTTATTTTAAAAGAACTATTAAAAATAAATTATGCACAAGATTGGGGATAGCTTCATAAAAGTAGTGCATTTTGTTCAAAGAAAATATTTTATGAAATCTGAAATTCTATATGTTGCTGGAAATATTCCCAGATAAACTTATTTGTTGTAACTCATCCTCAATACACACTATTAGCATAGCCATATATTTCTGACAATTATCAAGGGACTATCTGAATTTATTTTCACAGCTGAGTAAATAAGAAGAACTTCCCAGGTAACTGTTGCAGAATTAAGTCCATAGTTATCATATTACATTGATATATTATTAGTCAAAGAGTACTTAGAGTAACAGCTCCCAGAATAACTGCTTTCTAAAACTTAAGTGTGACTTCTCTGTTTCTGACATCTTGAATAAAAGCTAGTTAGCTAGATAAATGTGGCAAATGAGTGTACAGCCTATGGCTTTGGTATGTTCTGCAGCTCTGCTACCCTGACATTACTGAAAATTTGCTTCAGCTGATTATTATGCAAGTATGCTGGAAAGATGTAGCTCTGTCTCGTAAAATGATTACCCTGGATTTAGCCACACTGCTTTCATTAAGGTCAAAGGAAATGATGACTTACATTTCGAATAAGACTTAGGACAGGAGACTGTGTCTCTAGCCTGGAAAATTTTCAAATGATATTAAGACTATTTCTATTCTACCTGAGAAGAAAAAAATCTTTTTCTTTTTTGAAAAAACATTTTGCAACAGGGAGCTTTCAACCTGTTCCCCAATTTGTCAGGAGCCAACAAGCAATACCATTTCCCTACTAGAAAGATCACTCCTGAAGTTTGGGCTACATGTGCTTACATATTAATATCTGAGCCCATTGTTTCTCCAGTTACGCACTCTCGATATGAAATAATAAAATGAAATAATGTTTGCCCTGACAGAACATTCAGCTACTTCCTTAGTATATACAATATTAATTAACTGAGACCAGGGTC